AAAATTGTTCCAGAGGCCTGGGAGCTGACTTTGCACTGCCTCAAGGGCCAGGATAAATCCTAGAAGAGAAAAACGTCACATATGTCCATCATCAAAGCTACTCTTTGACCAAGACAGATCAAGATAAACAGACATGCTTTCTGTAACCATGTCTCTAGAAATGGTAACAGACAACATTTCAAAGAATGAAAATGGACCAACTCGCCCCTTCTAATGTAAATGGTGCTTCTCACTAATTAGGCTTAGCATCAAAGCCATTCTTTCTGCCTTGTAGATAAAAACTACTACCACTGCCCATTACAGAATTAATCTCATTTCCTCAGGGCAATCCAATACAAAATCCTCCTTCCTTGAAGAGCAATCATCTAACACAAAATCCAACTAAGAAGTTCTTTTGAGTGTAGTTACTGATACACCTCACAGTGTTTCATGCTTTGGGTCATTACAGCTTACAGCTGTTATCATTTCTATCCCTGACTACAGATTTGAGCTCGGTGCTCTTTGGGAGAAAAAAAAAAAAGACATAATTTCTTGGTTTTATGAATGACTGAGAACCTAGTCTCATGACCAAAATGAGTATAAAAGAATAAAAAATAAAATTTGCCCGAGGGGAAAAAAATACCTGACTTTGTACCCACAATGAAGTTGAGTCACAATGTATAATAAATGCAGAAAACGACAAAGTTTGATCTGAAAATCCTTAAATCAATGAGATGTTTTAATAAAATGTCAAAGGAAAACTACAGAAGTATCCATTAGGGGAAAAATGCACGTACTTTTTTTTTTTAATATTTTTATTTATTTCCAGGAGAGAGAGAGACAGTGTGAGCAGGGGAGGGTCAGAGAGAGAGGGAGTCACAGACTGAAACAGGCTCCAGGCTCCGAGCTGGCAGTCAGCACAGAGCCCGACGCGGGGCTCGAACCCACGAACCGCGAGATCATGACCCAAGTGAAAGTCGGACGCTTAACCAACTAAGCCACCCAGGCGCCCCTAAAATGCACGTACTTTTAATCGCATAGAATCCAGCTTAACTGAAAACATCCTGGAGAGTTACACGCGGAGTAACAAGAAACACCTTGTGAATCTGCCTGTTATAAGGTGCCAGTTTTCAGAGGGAAGATATGGGTCACAGTCGTTGCTGCACAATGTAGTAGAAGAATAAAATAAACTCCCACATAATTCTTCACTCGTGGTAGTAACAGAACAGTATTAATACACAAATTTGTGTTTACTACACAAATTCGACCTTGTATGAATAGGATCTAGGGAAGAGGGGAGTAGCATAGCACTTCAGAGAATGCGCAACCCATGACAGTAGAAATCTGTTTCCAGGTGGACACATGACGGCTCACAGGAAATCTTGACTGTGCTGGCTCTTCAAAGTCAAGACAGTGGGGACAACTGTAGAAGCCTGCTGCTGAGGGCAGATGGAAGTCTAGCAGCTGGTGGTGGACTGAGAATATTGATGGGCATCACAAAGAAGGAAAACAGGCTGGAAACGAGTGTCCGGAAAGCCCAATGCTGCTGTCTCCTACACAGATGGCTCCAAAACCTGACTGACTCCTACTTCCCTTCTGCATTCCAAGTTTCATGGTTGCTAGGCTTTGGTGAATTCTAACATGAAACCTAAAGGCCATAGATCCTAGAAAATACAATGTCTTCAGGAGGCCAGCAGGGGGAGCTCAAACACTCTTATCACTAAATGTCCATTGCAAACCCAACAGGAAGAGACACAACTTCCAATTACCTAGTACCTCAACTACTACTTTACTATCCTAGGAGGAAGAGTTTCTACTCCCCTGGCAACAGCCCAGCCAATGAGATTCACAACTCAGCCAATAAAAGGCCACTATACTTCAACCTCCCAGCTTACTCCAATTGTGGTTTGTTTACAAGGGCACTTCATGTTCTCCCATTTCCTCTGTACTTTGTTCTCCAGACTTAACCTAATGGCTTTGCCATAGCTTACTTCTTTCGAATTCTCTATTCTCAAATAAATCCTTTTTTTTTCTTTTTGCTGGTAAAATAACTGGCAGTTTTATATTTAAGGTTAATGTTATTTGGTGTCAGAAGTTGGATCCTGAGACAACTTCAGCAATTTTGAGGCTGGTGAGCCAATGTGCCAGTACCCATGGAAACAAGAGCTCACTGCTTTCTTGCTGTTCCTGGAGCCTGAAGCTATATTTTCTCCTCGATTTCAAGCCCCAGGCTTTGTCCATTCTGCAAGTTCCACTCATGTTTGGAATTGGACCGTCACTATGAAGACTGCGTTAGCCTTTGGTCTGACTCATTTTCAGAACTGGACTGTCCCTATTGAAACAGTGTGGCCTCGGGTCTAATTCCTTTTGAACTGGACATTCTAGATTCAACTCCCTAGAGGCCAAAGGAAACCACCTTGCTGATACTGCAAAAAACAAAACAACCAACCAAAAAAACCACACACACACACACACACACACACCCACACAAACTGCCACTCTAGGAAAGCAATACTCAAAATGTCATCATGTTCCAAAGGGATGGTCTCCCAAATGATAATCAGAAAAATTAAAGAGACACTCAACATTAGCCCAGGAAATAAAATAAATTCAGAAATCTAATAATTGTTGGTCTGATTAGAAGAACTCTGGTTTGGGCCAAAAAACCACCCAGTCCTACCAGGAATTCTAAAATCCCCACTACTTACCGCGGCACGTGCGTTAAACGATTGGTCTACTGACAAAATGGTAGCACTCATGGACAAATACGGGTGGGAAAATGTTAATAAGGCTATGAAACTTGCCCACCTCGCTTATTCATATGTTAATGTATAATCCAGGGAAACCAGTTTGCACAAATTGATTTACTAGAACTTTCCCGTAACACAGGTATAAAGTGTTAGGCACGGTGTGTATACATTCTTGCTCGTCAGAAACTCTCCCCTAGAGACAGGCCAACGCTTTCACTGTCACTAAAATTCTGTTAGAGAAGATTAACCCTACCCGAGGAGCGCCTCTTGATCTTCACAGCAATCAGGGAACCAATTTTAACAGTCAGGGGCTTCCACAAGTCTGTGCTGTCTTGTTTTACAACTGCCATGATGTTTACCATCCTCAACCCAAGGGTTAGTCGAACACACTAATGACACTATTAGGCTCAATAGGCAAGTCTGTAGACACCTTCCACAGACCTTGGCTGATAACACTCCCATTAGTCCTGCTACATGTCAGATCCCCCCTCTTTGGAACTCACGGACTCTCACCCTTTGAATCAGTCACAGGACCTCCAATGCACTCGGCCCCTGCCTCCTCTGGCCCACAGCTAATAAAAAGAGAGATACCTCCATAGTGTAAAGGCCTAATTGCTTTTATTAAAAGTAACCATGGCTTGGTTGTACAATCTTTTTACAGTGCACTTCTGAGCGATAATGACCTTAAGCGTTACACTCTGCAACATGGAGATTCCATCTGTTGAAGATGGTAACTCCAGACTCTTCAACCTCACTGGAGAGGCCCTTTTCAGGAATGCAGACCAACCCTTGGGTTGCCCAACTTCAGGAACAGATTCTTGGTTTCACATTCCACATGTCAAGAAAGCACCAAACCCTGCCTGGACTTGCACACTATACAGTGAATGAAGGTAGAGATTTTCCAGAATTGAAGGGGCCAACATTTGACCAGACAGCTTTCCTGAGAGATCCAGACTGAGCCCATATACCTTTTCCTCATTGGTGCTTCTTCTCCCCCTTTTGTGGAAAGAGAATGCCCTTGTCTCCATTTCCCAAAGCTTTGCCAAAGAGGGAGATCTCTTCTTTTGATTATGGCCTTTCAAAAACAGCCTGATCAGGGGCACCTGGGTGGCTCAGTTGGTTAAGCGTCCGACTTCGGCTCAGGTCATGATCTCACGGTCTGTGGGTTCGAGCCCTGCATTGGGCTCTGTGCTGACAGCTCAGAGCCTGGAGCCTGCTTCTAATTCTATGTCTCCCTCTCTCTCTGACCCTCCCCTGCTCACGCTGTCTCTATCTCTCTCTCAGAAATAAATGAAACATTTAAAATCAAAAAAGAATTAAAAAAGAAAACAGCCTGATTATAACCTTGTGAGACATTAATTTTTTAGTTGCTTTTTGTGAAGGGTTAGAAGGTTCAAAATTCAGGGGTGCCTGGGCGGCTCAGTCAGTTGAGCGTCTGGCTTCAGCTCAGGTCATGGTCTCACTGTTCCCTACTTCAAGTCCCACGTCTGGGATGCTGGGGTCACCATAGAGCCCGCTTCGGATCCTGTCTCCCTCCCTCTCTGCCCCTCCCCTGCTTGTGTGCTCTCTCTCAAAATTAAACATTAAAAGAATTTAGAAAAAAAGACTCAAAATGTACAAGTCTTTCTCTCATCTGAAATGTTAACAGGCTCTGGATCCTCCTCCAAATTCACCATCTCTGAACTAGCGACCTTACAGAATATAATACATTTGCTCACAAACACTTCTTGTGAGATAACAATACTCTGCTCTTCTACAAGAAATTCATCAGCTATCGCTTCATATTTATATCTGTACTGTTCATATCTTCCCAAATGTTGGTGTGGTCGATCACATCCACGTGTTTTTGCAATATTTACTATTCTACATCCACAGCTGCTTCAAGTGGAGACTTCCAAAAGGGATGCATGACCCGAGATCTGCATTCAGAGTGCACCTTCCTCCTCGAAGTTGGACCAAATGTCAGTATTGGCTACTTTCATATCTAGGGTCTTGGTTCAGAACCATCATACAATTTAGGGGGCGCCTGGGTGGCTTAGTCGGTTAAGCGTCCGACTTTCGCTTGGGTCATGATCTCACAGTTTGTGAGTTACAGCCCACTATCAGCACAGAGCTTGCTTAGGATTGTCTCTCTCTCCCTCTCTCTTTGGCCCTCACCTGCTCTCAGGTAAAATATATAAAGCTTAAAGGGGGGGGGGTGGCACCTGGGTGGCTCAGAGCCTGGAGCCTGGTTCAGATTCTGTCTCCCTCTCTCTCTCTGACCCTCCCAGGCTCACACTTTGTCTCTCTCTCTCAAAAATAAACATTTAAATAAATTAAAAAAAAAAAAAAGACCGAGCCAGTGTACCTTTTCCACAAAATATGTAAATCACACCATCAGGCTACATGCCTTAAACTTACGCAGTAATGTCAATTCTTCTCAATAAAACGGGAAAGAAAAGAAAAACACTGAGGAAGACAATATAACATTAATAACGTTTCTTTCATGTTGTGGATTTGGGGGAGTATTATACACTAATTAATTTGCACCCGGTTTACCCATATTACTTACAAAAATTGGATTTCCTTCCAGTGCAATATTCATCGAACTTTGAAAATATTTGTTAAAAATCAAAGATTTCCATTTGTAAGGTATCTATCCATTATATATTCTCGTGTGGTTTCATAAGAAGGTGGGGCAAATGACTTTTCCTAGAGTCTACACTCAATACCATCCCTTCCAGTGTGAGGTCTTCCGTGGCTTCTCGCTGAAACGCACTGACGGCTTTCCCACATCCCTTACGTTTATATGGTTTCTCCCCATGTGCGTTCATCCTCGAAAGGCTGTGTGATAAACAAAGGCTTCCACGACTTCCCTTACCTTCAGAGTTTCTCTCTAGTAAGAGTCCCATGGATACCAAGAAAATAGTGAGGAAAGATTTACCCTATTGTCTGAGGGCACGGGGTTTCTCTCCAGTGTGAGTTATCTCGTATACTCAGAAAGAGCTGGAAGTGAATTATTTCCCACATTCCTTACATTCATACGGCTACGCTCCATTATGAGTTCTTTCATGGTTTCGTAAAGAACTGGAGCGAGTAAAGGCTTTACTACAACGTTTACACTGAAAGGGTTTCTCCCCAGTGTGAGTCCGCTCGTGTGTTCGCAAAGAACTAGGACAATCGAAGGCCTTCCCACATTCCTGACATTTACAGGGTCCGTCTCCAGTGTGCTTGATCATGTGCCTTTGAACGTTGGAGAGAGTAATGAAGGCCTTCCCACACTGCTTACATTCATACGGTTTCTCTCCACTGTGAGTCCTTTCGTGTTTTTGCATAGAACTGAGGTAAGTGAAGGCTTTCCCACACTGCTTACATTCATACGGTTTCTCTCCACTGTGAGTCCTTTCGTGTTTCTGCATAGAACTGAGGTAAGTGAAGGCTTTCCCACACTGCTTACATTCATAGGGCTTCTCCCCGGTGTGACTCCTTTCGTGTTTCTGGAGGGAACAGGGAAAACTGAAGGCTTTGCCACATTCCTTACATTCGTGAGGTTTTTTCCGACTGTGACCTCTTTCGTGGTTTTGAAGGGACATGGAAGAACCGAAGGCTTTGCCGCACTCCTTACACCCAAATGGCTTCTCTCCACGATGTATCTTCTCATGACATCGGAAGTAATTGGGACAGTCGAAGACTTTGCCGCACTCCTTACACTTGTACGGCCCGCCGCCGGCGGCCTTCGGCGCGGGTCTCTGAAACATCGCGAGAGGACTCGCGGCGGTCTCGCACTCGTTACACTCGCACGGCCCCTCTCCGGCGTGGCTTCTCTCGTGCTTTCGGAAATACTTCGGGCAGCTGAAGGCCTTCCCACAGATTTTGCATTCGTACGACTTCTCCCCGCTGTGCCTCCTTTCGTGGTTCCGGAAGTATACGGGGCAGCTGTAGCTTTTACCACAGGTCTTACACTCGTAGGGCTTCTCGCCCCGGTGTCGCTTTTCATGGCTGCGGAAGGATCTGGGGCAGCTGAAGCCTCTGCCGCACTGCTTGCACTCGTACGGCTTCTCCCCGCTGTGGGTCTTCTCGTGCTTGCGAAAGTAATTGGGGCAGCTGAAGGCCTTGCCGCACTTCTTGCACTCGTACGGCTTCTCGCCCGTGTGCGTGCGCTCGTGTATCCGGATGTAACCGGCGTAACTGAAGGCCTTGCCGCACTGCTTACACTCGTACGGCTTCTCCCCGGTGTGAGTCCGCTCGTGAACGCGGCAGTAGCTGAGGCAGCTGAGCGCCTTGCCGCAGTGCCGGCACCTGTACGGCTGCTCGCCGGTGTGCGTCCGCTCGTGCTTCTGGAAGTTGTGGCGGTACCGGAAGGCTTCCCCGCACTGTGTGCACGCGTAGGGTTTCTCCCCGGTGTGGATCCTCTCGTGCTTCCGAATGGACTGGCAGTGCTTGAAGGCTTTCCCGCAGTGCCGGCACGTGTAAGGGGTCTCGCCCGTGTGGGTCCGGACGTGCACGCGGATGGACTGGCGGTGCTTGAAGGCCTTGCCGCACTCCTTACACTTGTAAGGCTTCTCTTCGTACTCCTGGTACTCGTACAGTTTGTGGCCCGTGTGAGACAGCATGTGCCTACTGAAGGACGAGTGGTGCCTGAACATCTGTCCACAGAAGCTGCATTTACGGAGTTTTATTCCAGGAGAAGTTCTCTCTATCTGCTTAGGGTTCGGCTCCCGCCCGAAGGTTTCTCCGCACCGACTTCCGCACCGACTCCCTTCTGTACCTTTACGGGGACTCTCTACCACACGCCTGCTGGAAACAGAAGTGGGTTATTAACGGTTTATTAATAATTTCAGATTTACCACATTATTGCCATGAGATCGACTGGGTGCCATGTGCAAAACAACGTGTGTGTGTGTGTGTGTTCGTTCGGTGCGGGTGGCCTGTAAGGGACTGCGTGCTAGGCAGCCTGTAAGAGGGGTCGATCACAGCTCTTATCAAAAGTGATGGACATAGGGGCGCCTGGGTGGCTCAGTCGGTTAAGCGTCCGACTACGGCCCACGACACGATTTCACGGTTTACGACTTCGAGCCCCGCGTGGGGCTCTGTGCTGACAGCTCAGAGCCTGGAGCCTGCTTCGGGTTCTGTCTCCCTCTCCCCCACTCATATTCTGTCTCTTTCTATCAAATATAAACATTAAAAATTAAAAAAAAAAAGTAGTGATGGGCATAAACGGGGTTTCCGAAGACCTTTTCTGCGTGTATTGTTTTTCACATGTTGAACGTCTAGGTCACATTAGAGAAGAGATTTTTGATGAAAATATCCTAAAAACGAATAAACTTGAAGACTGGTCTGATTTATTTGCTTGTTTTTTTTAATTTCATGACAAAGATTCTCTCGTAGGACACTGTTCTTAAATTTTTATTTATTCTTTTAAGTAGACTTTAAAAAGGGGGGAGCCACCTAGGTGGCTCAGTCAGTTGAGCGTCTGACTTCGGCTCAGGTCATGGTCTCCCGGTTTGGGAGTTTGAGCCTGGTATCATGCTCTTGTGCTGACAGCTCAGAGCCTGGAGCCTCCTTCGGATTCTGTGTCTTTCTCTCTGCCCCTCCCCGACTCACTGTCTCTGTCTCTCTCTCTTAAAAATAAACATTAAAAAAATTTTTTTTAATTAGAAAAAAAAGAGTTGCATGCTCTAACAGAGTAGGCCAGGCACTCCCAGGGACACAGCTCTGATGTGAGTGGGACTCACCTTAGATCTGTCTCATGTTCATACAGACTTTTACTGTTACGATCTTCCCATTTGTCTCCTACAATGCAGACCAGGAAAAACCATCAATTACAAAAGAATATTAAAGCTGCTTTAGTTTCTACGTGCCTGATGAACTGTGACCATGGCTGCTTCATTTACCAATATATTTGCTTTCCACACTTCACCTCCTAAAACAGCACTGATGAGCAACACTGGTCTCTGATTAAGTAAATAAGAATACTGATTAAGTTAATAACAGTATTGTCATCCCTACCTATTGAGGCCAGGTTCCGGAAGGTCTCTTGCATCACATCTCTGTAGAGTTTCTTCTGGGATGGATTCAGAAGCGCCCACTCCTCCAGGGTGAAGTCCACAGTCACATCCTCAAAGGCCACTGAGTCCTAAAACATCCCACACACGTGTATAGGAGGGTGGGTAAGACGGGCCGCGCTGGCGATCTATGCTCAGTTCCTAAGAAATCACATGCGACTTTGACTTCTCAACATTTATTCTAGGACTCGGTTCTCAGGCTCCTCCTCTCTGGCCACACTCCCTTCCTCGTGGACTTAACAGCATCACGAACACAAGGAATTTACTGCTATATTTTTACTGTGACCACTTCCGGTCTCCACTGCTCTCGACCGTCAGGGAACAGAACGCCTTGGAGAAGCGCTACAGAAACGGACGAAGTATTTCCATCTTAAGGCCATCAATTCCTTGTGAGAAAAACTTTCACCTCCTTCTTAAATACCCACCACATCACGCGCCACTCCATGACGCGTGGGGTCATACGTGCACGATGCTTTATGAACAAAAACAGGAAAAAGAAAAATGGAAGCTTTTTCTCCTATTCCCATCCCCAAACACGAGAAGCCAGGAGAATCCACTGTTACAAGATCCAGGTGGCCCTAACATCCTCACGTCCTCAGGCCACTGCAGTCATATCCAGCTAGACGAGCAGCCATATTCTCACCGAAGAGGAACAAGTATCATGTGTGTAATATTTATCACGGAATCAGTTTTGCGTTCCATGCTCTGTCCCATTTCATGGACCAGGACAATATTCGGAATATACAACGCAGGCCTAAGGAAAAGTACGTGACAAATCCATGTACTCAGGAGTCTCAGGGTTGCCTCCCACCGATTTTAAGGACACAAAGGCACACAGGCGATGAGACACCAGAAGAGATTTTCCAGCAGAATCCAAACACTAACCAGGGCCTGTGACCTCGAGGACCATGTTAAGGGCTGGAGTTTGCAAGGGACTTCCCTGAATTCCCCATCAGTACGGATGCTGTGTGTGCACATGGTGTGAAACAGAGTTCAACAGGGCTTTCCTCCAAATATCCCACCAAATCCCTTTTTTCTTTTTTTTTTTAATGTTTTATTTATTTCAGAGAGAGAGAGAGAGAGGTAGCGTGAGCGGGGAGGGTCAGAGAGAGAAGGAGACGCGGAATCTGAAGCAGGCTCCAGGCTCTGAGCCAGGCTGTCAGCACAGAGCCCGACGCTGGGGGCTCGAACCCTCGAACTGTGAGATCATGACCTGAGCCGAAGTCGGACACTTAACCGACTGAGCCACCCAGGTACCCCTAATCCCCTTTTTCTGACTTCTGCTATAACTGATGCCCAAACAGCCACTCGAGAGGCTTTCCTCCCAAACTTCTCTCATGTCTGAGGTCCTCTGTTGGGCAGGCAGGACGACCGTCTATCCCAAACACAGGAAACCCTCGGCGGATTAATTCCCCTAAATGCTGGTCTGTGAAAGAGATCAGTAATTCAATGATGTCCTTGTCTAGGGAACAGCGAGAAGTTCCCACCCAGCAATTCTAACGCTAGAATGGACGTGTTCAGTAGAGGGACAGTAAATGACCTGGTCAGTCCTCGTTACTCTTTCCACAATGGAAATGTAGAGCATGTTCACAAAAAGTCCTACTATCTAGTGTGCAGAGAAGCAGGAACATTAGCAAGCTTGAGACTGCTTAGAAAACCTTAGAAATCCTGGATGACAAACTTCATCCTTCGCTGGTATCCCAGGAGCTGGGATTTTGGGGAGGGACCCCACCAACCTCACAGAGAAGAGTACCCCAGTGTCCCTAAAGCACTTTAGGGTCCGTGACACTCCTATCTTCCTCTTGAGAGACTGTAATTTGGTCACAGGTGTGGCAAGCAGAGCTGATGTGATGAACCCCCCAAAAAACCACTCTGGACACGGAGCCTCTGCAAGGCTTCCAGGTAGACAGAAATTCACATGTGTACTCACGACTTGTTGCATGATGAACTGTATGTGATTATACCCTAAGAGATAACATTTGAAAGCCAACTCCTAATTTACTCACACCAATTTCAGTACCAGAGAAGACTAAAGTGCATTTAATCTGATCCTGATAAAAATTGAAAAATTACTGCTTAAGATCTAAGGAGAAGGAAATAAATAAAAGTGCTGGGAGCCATACCGGCCCCGCTGGATGACAAGTCACAGCGAGGAGATGGCAGCGTTTGCACAGCTCCTGCCAAGAGAAGAGAAAACTGGTATCTCCTTCTGCTACTACTGGCTCATGTTGGAAATGAGCCTGCGAGTATTGACCAGGCCTCGCAATATTCCAAATCGGACCGATATTCCCCACACAGATTCCTCATAAGGAAAAGCATATTCCTGCCTTTTCAAAGAGATTTTAAATTTTTTTTTTTTTTAATATTTTATTTTTATTTCTAGGAGGGAGAGAGAGAGAGAGAGACAGACAGCGTGAGCAGGGGAGGGTCAGAGAGAGAGGGAGTCACAGACTGAAACAGGCTCCAGGCTCTGAGCTGGCAGTCAGCACAGAGCCCGACGCGGGGCTCAAACCCACGAACCGCGAGATCATGACCTAAGCGAAAGTCGGACGCTTAACCGACTAAGCCACCCAGGCGCCCCTTTTCAAAGAGATTTTAGATGAAAGCACTGTGGATGATTGTCAAAAGGCTCTTCCTATGGGCCTTGCAGACCCAAGACTTAGATAATAAAGGGGGTTAAGAACACAAGAGTTACAACTGAGCCTGGCCCTGAGACAAAGAGTCTAATTTAGAGTTAAGGAACAGATAAGGACATGGGGCGTCTGGGTGGCTCAGTCGGTTGACTGTCCGATTTCAGCTCAGGTCATGATCTCGCAGTTCGTGGGTTCGAGCCCCGCGTCGGGCTCTGTGCTGACAGCTAGCTCAGAGCCTGGAGCCTGCTTCAGATGCTGTGTCTCCCTCTCTCTCTGACCCTCCCCTGCTCATGTCTGTCTCTCTCTCTCTCTCTCAGAAATAAATAAAAACATTAAAAAAAAAAAAAGGAACAGATAAGGGCAGAGCTTAAGTTAATACTTATCCCTTTTCTAACCGATGATGTATGGCAGTCCCTTCCCTAAGGCCTACTTTCCACAAACACCCTCCCTTACACTGGCGGCTGGGATGAGGATAGATAAGAGTAGCTAAAACATAACCCAAAAAGAAAGGCCGACACATTTAGGGCCTCCATGGTGTTTACACATTCAGCATCAAGTCAAAAAAGTTTCCACAAACGACTTATTAACCAGCTCAAAAACTTCCCTCCTTTTGTGAGGCAGACAGAATGCCTCCCGGCCTATCTATATACAACTTAACCTATGTCCTAATCTCAGCGTTATTAACTTAGAACAAATATGTACGTCATCCTGTTTTTCACTAAGAACATCCTGTTATTCCCTTAGTTGTAAGATTTACTCAACCTCACTATGATTGGGGTAGTTCTGCAAGAATACTTTCAAAAAACCTGTTTCTGTACACTTTCCAAAGCATCTTATCACAAAGAGTTTTCCATTGTAAACATTCCTTTTTCTGATGCCATGTTATCGCTGGACCTTTAAATAAAGACACCAAAACTCACAGGACAGAGATGCCTGCCTGGTGATCAGAAAGATTCTCGGGGCTCTCACTCTCTCTCGCCGGCACCGTCCATCCTTCAGGGACCCCTGGACTGGCTGGAGCGGGCCTCCAGTGTAAAAGGGTGCCAACTGGATTTTTTTTAATGTTTATTTATTTTTGAGAGAGAGAGAGAGAGGGAGGGAGACTGGTGTGAGCAGGGGAGGGGTAGAGAGAGAAAGAGACAAAGAATCAGAAGCAGGCTCCAGGCTCTGAACTGTCAACATAGAGCCTGACGCAGGGCTTGAACTCATGAAGCACTGAGATCATGACCTGAGCCGAAGTTGGTTGCTTAACCTACTGAGCCACCCAGGTGCCCCATGGGTGCCAACTGTTCTTTTTTTTTTTTTTAATTTTTTTAATATAGTTTATTTATTTTTGAGAGAGAGAGAGAGACAGAGCACGAGCGGGGGAGGGGCAGAGAGAGAGGGAAGCACAGAATCTGAAACAGGCTCCAGGCTCTGAGCTGTCAGCACAGAGCCCGACATGGAGCTGGAACTCAAAGACTGCAAGACCATAACCTGAGCCAAAGTCGGACGCTTAACCGACTGAGCCACCCAGGCGCCCCAAGTGCCAACTGTTCTTAACAGGAATTCAGTGTCACCCAGATGTCACCTCTCCCAAATGATAGCTTTATAAAATTCCACAATCCCCCCCACCCACCAAAACAGACCCTTTAGTAGTCAACAGGTACTCCTTCAAGCTCAACAGAAAGAAACAAATGTCGGGGGAGCCTGGAAGGCTCAGTCAGCTAAGCATCCAGCCTCCTGGTTTTGGCTCTTATCATGATTTCACAGCTCATGAGTTCAAGCCCCGTATCAGGCTCTATGCTGACAGCGTGGAGCCTGCTTGGAATTCTCTCTCTCTCTCCCCCTCTCTCTCTCCTTCCCCACTCACTTTCTCTTTCAAATAAATAAACTAAAGCAAACAAAACAAAACAAAAAAAACAAACATCAAAAAATGGACAGTCTTTCTAAAGATCAAATCGGTGGCCTACCTAACACAACACACATCAAGGACGTGTAAGCTACACTATTCTAGACAAGCCAGTACTAGCAGAGAGAGAAGCAAACAGACAAGGGCAGGAAGTGCCTTCAATAGGCTGGGATTTAATATGAAAAGGCAGTCAATGACACAGCAGTCATCGCAGCCAAGTGGCAAATAGCAAGAACACGCTGTTTATGCCTACATGGGCAGGCATAAATTATTACTATAAAAGGTCAGTTTGCAGAGTTAAAATGAACAGACGCCTATTCAAAAGGGAAGAAGGCAAACGCATCTAACAGAATATGAAATATCCCATATTAAAAATGTCCATCACCTTGGTAACGAGGTAAGAGGTAAATAACATGCCCAGTGGACCCCATTTCACAGGGACTGGAACAAAAATTCGTGACAAGAAAAAAAAAAACCTCATCGTTTTAATGATAATCCCAGGTGTGGAAGATCATTAGGAATCATGAACGGCTATTTAACAAATTCT